CGATTCGAGATGACCGACATGGGAGAGGTAAAGCGGATCCTCGGGATCGACGTGCAGCGGGACTACGAGCAAGGAACCCTGGCCATTTCACAGGAGCACTACGTGAACACACTTCTGGAGCGGTTCGGAATGCAAGAGGCCAACCCAGTGAGCACTCCTGGATACGGAGCGGAAATCTCCACGAATCAACCTCAGGACCAAATCCTAGGACCCACGGACAAGAAAATTTACCAGTCGATGACAGGAAGCATCCTCTACCTGGCCCAGTGCACGCGATTCGACCTCTCCTACGCTGCCCTACAACTTTCCAAGGCCTGCAGCAACCCAGCGCAGGTGAACATGACAGCAGCCAAGCACGTTCTGCGATACCTTCGGGGTAATCCAGTTCTTCCTATCGTCTACAAGAGAGGACAGTTTCGGCTAGCGGCGTTTCGGATTCATCCTTCGGAGCAAAACCCCGACAACGGAAGATCTACCACGGGATATCTCTTCTTTCTGGCTGGAGGACTCATCAGCTAAGGTGCGAAGGCTCAAACTCTAACCGCGCAAAGCACGGTCGAAGCCGAGATTCAAGCACTTAGCTACTCAGCCAGAGAGGCGGTCTACATCTCAAATTTTATGACGGAACTCAACTTCAAGACCTTCGGATCGGTTCCCATCAACAGCGACAGCACCGGAGCGCTGACAGTGGCCGGGAATGCCATGCACTCTCAACGCACGAAGCACGTGACCCTGAGGTACTTTTTCATCCGGGAGCTAGTACTACGGGGACAAATCACTCTTCACCACCGGCCCAGCGAGCACCAGTTGGCTGATATCGCGACCAAGTACCTCCCAAAGCACCGATTCGCCTCCATCATTCAGCAGATCAAGGACTTCTCGTGTTGATCGAAGATCTGTGAAGCTCCCTTCCATACCAGAAGGAATTTATTTTCGATACGGTGCCAACGGAGGGGTCGAGGTAGACAAGGATATGGTGATGCCGTCGACCATTGTGAATTAGTTGCTTGATCGAGGGGTCGTGTCAGGAAAATCGTGCGTCGAGACCACCAGTAGTCGGACACGGTTTGACCTTTGAATACGATTGCAGCAACTAGTCTGCGTAGCAGTAGAAAATAATCCATCTCTCCGTGGCATGTATTCTCTTGTTCTAGAAATATTCCGGAAGCATGCTAGGTCAAGGTTGACCGGGACATCTACGTAGAACGTGTGTAGCTTCTGGAAGCCTTCTGGAAACTTCTGAAACCTTCTGTAAGCTTCTGGAAGCGTTCTAGATCTAGGTTAGAGTTGATACTCTTCTAGAATGTAGGAGGGCTTCCAGAAATCATTCTGGAAGCATTCTGGATCTTTCGTGTGATTGGCTTATTTATCCGGTATTCGAGAAGAGTGGTGCAGCCCTAAGCTCGCCCACCACTCTCACTCCTCTTCAGTGCCAGCAACATCTGACTCGAGAGTCAGCGATTAATGAAATCATCTTCATATATATTTCTATTCCAAGTATCTCGCGGTTGGAGCCGCACAGATTGTGAACCTCTGAGGTAGACTACACAGCCTACCGGCATCTGCAGCATCGTACTGCTGCTAGTGCACAGCGAAATATACTCTGACAAAGGTCGGAAGCGATGATGCGAGTGATGGGGTGCTTAGAGATGCGGAGTGGCTGGTTCTCTAGGGCGCGGCACGTGAAAGGCATCTCCAACACCCTTGCCGATGGTATTTCGAGATGGGATTATGACAGTATCCTCCCCAACCTCCGCGCTTTCCGACCGGATATTCAGTGGCAGACGCAAGAACTCGGGCAGGCAAGACGGGACCTAGTCTCCGACAACTTGGCGTGCAGCTCGTCGGGCAATCGATTGCGCCATCGTCTAGACGTACTTACGCGTCAGGTTTCAAGTCTTGGTGCACGTTTCGAGGGATGATAGGCAAACCGTGTTTTTCCCAAGCCGGCATCTCCATCGACCGCAGGGTATGGGAGCTGATTGTTTTTTCGGCATGGTACTTTGAGGTAGGGAGCAACTCCGCTAGTACGATTCCAGGAAAGCTAGCAGCGGTGCAGTTTCACCACAGGGTGGACGCGTCTGTCGAGCTGGACATTTCGTCACCTTTGACAAAAAGTTCATTGCGGGGGATCGCAAGAAAACTATGTTGCTCTAGGCACCGCTGTGCGTTTACCAATATCCTGGGGCATGCTGCTTGACGCCGAATGCAGGGTCCCGGGTTGGGGAGCAGGTGGATGGGTCATGTGGCTGTGTCTTGGTCTCAGTTTCCTTTTGATTACTCGGTCTGACGAGGCTTTCGCCGACGACGCTGGCGTAGCACACGCATCGCATTGTCTCACACGGGGAGACATAGCTCTATTACTAGGCAACGAGCAACTAGACTTCCGCAATAATCGCAAGGCTGATTGGCTAGAGTTGCGTTTTCGTGGCCACAAGGGTGATCAGGATGAGAAAGGGAACATTCGTGTGCGGACGCGGGATCACGTTAGGGGACCGCAGTCGGGGGTAAGAGCGAGTGGCGTTGCAGTCGCCCTTGATGTGGAGTTGTTATCGTGTCATGCGACGATGTTCGACTCCGCACCACTATCGTCTTTCCGCGAGAAGGGAGGGGCGGTGCAGCAAGTGGTGAAGTACAGTAGAGCACTGCGTGCGCTCCGAGACGTCGTCACCGAGTCCGGTCGAGACCCTCAACACTTTGCATTACATTCTCTACGTGTCGGGGGGCGCTACGGCGTTGGCAGCAGGTGGAGACATATCTGAGCGGGTGATTCAGAGAGAATGAAATGGTCGTCGGATGTATACAAACCGTATGTTCAGAACAATGTCGAGGACTCGAGTAGGGTGTCGCAAAAACTAACGAACGGGACGAGGTTCGACGTAAGACGGCCGGGGGAAGGTACGATATGGGGTATGAGGGGCTGACTGCGCTTGGGCAGTGGTATGGCCGGCTGCATGTAGGCAGCAGTCTGGAGCGGACCTCGGCTTGGGTGTAGTGGAATGGTCGAGTACAATTTGGGAGCGCGACCGTTAGGTTTCCCGGCGGTGCAGCGGTGCAGCGGTGCAGCTGGGTTGATTTTTTTTTAACTTGAGGTTGCGCCGCTGCTGGGCTTCGCCAGGCAACGTGCGGTGGAATATTTTTTCGTGTCATTTTACCAACCGTTACCGTTTTTCGTGTCAATTTGCCAACCGTAACCTTTTTTGGTGTCAATCTATCTCAGTCTACAATTTTCGTGTCAATTTATCGTGGGAACTCAGAATTATATCCAAGATTTCGAAACCATAAACAAACCTGGGTGTAAGGGCGGGTGCGCAGCAGCAGTTTCCAGATTGATGTGCTGGGCGCACGACAGCGGCCGCAACTCCCTCTGCTTTCGTTGTGATGGATAGGGACACGGACCAATTTACAGCAACAGAGTGCTTTGTCTCGTGTCATGCGGAGAGTTTTTACGCGAAAAGGAAAACGTTGCTGTCGCGTACTGCTGTGTGCTGTATCAAGCGTGGTGCTGCTGCGATATCCACATACGTGCATCCAAAGCTGCGCCTCCACCATAGTTTGTTTGCGGTAGGTCTGCCCATACAGGCCAACGCGTGTTGCGCGACTATCCTCCGTGCTGGCGATCATGAGCGACACGTGTCGGCCTTTATCATGCGCTTGCGCGTGACTGGACATGAATCTTCTCCGGTGTCTAGTCCATGCATATTGGCAACAAATTAAATGTGCCATGTCACGTCCACCATCCTGTGAGTATAGACGTGCAGACAATTATGCTCCAGCTCTCGAGCGCCGAGAGCGCACAACCGGAGCGCTGATTTATCCTCGCTGCTCGTCCAGTAATATCGTCACGGTCATGGGCGTGTCGACTTCGCCGGACCCCGTTCGCTTATTAATGTCAGACTTCTTGATGCTTAGTCGGCAACCTCTCGATGGATGCTGGCCGTAGGCATAAGATAATGAAATTCGCAGGGGTAAGGTAACAGCGCAGCAGTTTGGTTTCCGGTACGCTGACGCCTTGTGTCCAACTCACAACCCAGGACCCCCCGCACGACAGGAACATTATCAACATTTGTGTCGAAAAATATTAAATGTCGCAGGACCCCACGTCGAGGTCTATAAGCTTGGGGAAGGGGTGGGTGAAAAGGGTTGGGGGGATCACGGCGACACCTCGTTGTTACGTTTTCCCTTCAGGTAGCATTCTGGAGAGCACTCCTCGTCCCATTCCGTATCCTCCACCATGCGTTTCTCGGTACTGCCCCGAATCCCGGACGAAAGCCCGGTGCCATTATTGACGTGTTTGTCGAAAGGCGGTTTCGGAAGTCACACCCCGAACAGCCGATATCTGTTCAGTCGTAGGTGGGTATACGGTGGTATGCAGGTGTTGAAAGGAAAGAGTCAAAGCCCTTGCAGACAATACTGGATTCTCAACCTCGTTGGCTCGTGACCTAGGCCAAAAGAGGAACCCAGGCGTAAAAGCACACCGCACAGACCAGCATCGAACATTAGGAACGAATCAAGTCGGGCTCCGCAGTGCTGTAGTTCCTCAGTCAACCTGTTTCACTGCTGTAGCGCCAGTGCTGAAAGGGCGTTGCTAATGAGGGGGGTGGTCTCAAGTTGGTTGTCTCCTTCAAAATCCTTCCGGCAAGGCACCACAGGGTTTACACGTTAGCTTCACCCCTATTTTGTAGCTGCGCGCAAGCTCCGCCCCTACACAGCAGTCGACTCAGTGTGCTACAAGTATATACGTCGTACCAAGTAAGTACTGTGGCGTGTTTCGAACCTACAGTGTATCTTCGTAAACGAAAGCTTGCTACGATGCTGCTGGTGTTGTGCCCATGCCAATACAGATCCCACTGACTCTATTGCTTCTAAATAACTCCGAAAATTTCACGTGTTCTGTTCAATATTTTTTTTCACGTGTTCTGTTCACAGTACCAGGTGCTTCAACCACGCGGGCTGCAGCCAGAGGAGGTTCGGTACGTGGACTGCGTACAGTCGCGGTCATGGAGGTTTGGGGGCCGTGCTTGGGCGGAGTGATATCAGAGCTGCGAGGCGGGCGTCTGCCAAGAAAACACCCTCACCTGATCGTGGACTTCCTCCGAGTCACCCGCGACTCGATGGTCGAAGCTTGGTCAAGAACGAAAGGATGACGACAGGGAGGACGAGGCTATCGCGGCCCTAGTTTCCCTAGAGCAAGGAGGTCCGCCGCCCGCCGGTACTCCCCCGCGTCGTAAGCCAACTGCTGCTGGTGCGCATGAGTCTGCCGGGAAGAGGAGGCCAAGAGGGCGATTATATGAAGCCGGAGAATCCTACGCCGCAATGAACAACGCGGGTAAGGGACTACCGGGTTCCATGCCTAGTATGCCAGGCTTCTCCTTGGGTGGCGAGCGGAGCAGTGCTTGTGGTGCCTCGGGTTCGCAAGAGAAAGGGGACGAAGGTGGGGGTGATTCGGGGCAGCGTGATGAATCCGCCGCACCACCAGGCGGCGGATCTTCAGTCAGGTCACGTGGTGATCTGCCTGGGAGCGGAAGCGGGAGTCGGAGTGGTACACATGCGAAGGCCGGGGGAGACAGTTCAGTCCAAACCGGCGATAACACTGGCGAAGGAGGCGGGAAAGGGAAAGGGGAAGGAAAGCAACGTGGTGCTTCGACTGTGTCGGGCTCAGTTGCCACGCCGACCACACTTCCGACCGGCAAGCGCCAGCGGCAGGGGAAGGCCAAGAGGACAAGGGCGTCAGCCGAGGATGAGGACGTCGACGAAGAGGACCCGGTGTATCGTGGACTATGGGATGCATACTGCTGTTGATCTGAATGGTTGGAGTGCTTGGTGTTATGCTCTGCTCTCAGTGGCATAGGTTGGGCGCAGAACATAGGTTGGGCGCCTTCTTCCTTGTGTATTCGAGCGCGCGAGCCACGGAATAGATGAGATTTGATTTTTTTTTTTTTTCTTTACCCATCACGCCGTACAGGTGCTTGCGCTCGAAGGCGTACTCTCGAGAGCTATCCGCCAGGTCCTTGTGCGGCACCGTCTGGAATCCCCGCGTCACCTTCTTCGCCCGATGCCGAGGTTTCTGGTGTTCCAGGGGCGGGTCAGACTCATCGGCGCAGAAGTTGACGTACCCGTTCGTCTGATAGGAGCGAGGGAAGGGGCGGAATATCAAATAAAGGCGTGAAGGGGCGGTACACGAGAGGGATTTCTAAAAATCAAATTGGCACAACAAAAGAGTGAGCTCGCCTGGCGCAAGAGTGCCGAACCATCTTGAAGATAGTTGGTGATGCACACCGTCGAAGTTGCTTGGAAAATATACAGCCCCTGGTTACATGTAGCCATGAAGGCATACATGGCTCGTACGAGCTCCGTGTAGTGCGCAAGGTGTGATTCAGAATATGGTTGGTGGTAATTGTTTTTGGCGTCAAGCATGACGCTAGAACTACTTTCTCGCGATGTCGCAGCCTTCCTTTCGACTAATGCATGTGTTCATATGTCGACTCTGATACATGCTGGATCTTAGCTCCATCGCGTTGTACTACTCCCCCCCCCTCCCCCCCGGCCGTCCAAGCAAGCCTGCACGTCTGAACATGCAACGATAAACACATGACCCTAACAAACAATTTGAAGTGAAACATGCGCCGTGGACAACGGTCCGCCAGCTACAGTCTGCGCTTCATGCTATTTTGCGCGTGATGGCCATTATACTGGTGCTCCTGCCGCTGTTGGCATGAAAACCATGCCACCACTTGGAACACCACTCTCTCGATTGTCTGGGGGAGGAGGTATGCCCTAACTTGCACAATATTGCTGAAAGACACAAAACGCGACCTTTGTTTTCCTCAACTCCCTCTAGAGACCTCTTGCGCCTCCGTCGTGAAAGTCTTCTCGAAGAACACGAAGGTGAAACCCCCACCCTTCCCGTTGACGAAAGAACGCAAAACAGCTAGCCCTTGTTTGTCGACCTTCGGTAGACTCGCCTTCAGCAGGTTAGGCTGAACTTGTCGCCGCCGGGGTGTTTGTGCCGTCTCTTGTACGGGTCGGATGACTCGTCACGGGGTAGTCCCTCGAACATCCACCCCTTCGGATCGTCCGGGATGGGAGGGGAGGGTGGTTCACCAGCCTGGAAAAGACCAGCAACACACACCAGGTAAAATTAGAGGCAATCCAATAATACACCTGAAATAAAAGTAGCGTCGCACAATAGCACCGAACAACACACGGAAAAATGGTACAAACTTATCGCAGTATCACCTACGGCAATGAGCGACACACACATTTGGCACTAGTCATCCGTCTACAGCAGAAGCGCGGTCGATGCTGCTCAAAGAGGAAAAATACAATAATAACATGTATGTGTGCACTGGTGTCGATTATCGAAGGAAATGAAAGCGCATCGTTGTGTAGTTCATGGTGTTTTATCACGTAGAGAAACATTGTAAGGGAAAGCACGCCAGCGCTATAAGGTAGGCAAAGCACTACATATGTTGCGCACCATTGGTTGTGGGAGCTTGATCCACTTGAGGTGCCACACACTCTCCTGCGCTGTCCGGAAGTCCTCATCCTCGATCTTGGAGGCCTGCGCGTAGTGCAGTTCCTTGGACTTCGTCATGAAAGGGTGCGCGCCAGGAGTCTGCAATTCGTCCACGCCACCACCCAACTCCGACTCCGAGTCATAGTTGCCTGCCTCGACACGCTGCCCCTCACTCCAAGAGCTGCACCTGACACCCTCTTTGGCGCTTCTGAAGGCCGTCATGATGCTTGCAAAATCCTGCCGTCCTACCTCCGACCTTGTTGCCGCACTTTTCGCCACGTCGTGCGCTGCGGCAAATGAAAGCGACACACAAAGCCGGGTTCGCCGGAGAAGAATCCGGTGGGGATGGTTGCTGCTGCTGCTGCTGCTGCTGCTGCTGCTGCTGCTGCTGCTGCTGCTGCTGTTGCGCCTCACGCGAGGCCGTAGGGAGCTGGTCCGTGACCGGTAGCTCCGGGGTCTTTTGTTGTTGCCGGTGTTGCCCACCTACACCGCAGGTGTTGTGACCAGCGTCATGCGAGTTCGGTACACTTCCTAGATCCAAACGCTCCGGCGGAGATGGTTTCTGCTGCTGCTGCTGTTGCCGCTGCCGCTGTTGCGGCCCGAGCGAAGTCGTTCGGAGCGGCGTCGTAACCGGTGATGCCGGTGCCTGTTGTTGTCGTCGTAGCTGCCGAGCTTCTCCCCGGGTATTGTGATCAGCATTGTGCGAGTTCGCAGCATATATCGATTTCTACGATGCGCTCATATCAAACTCAGTCATCCTCATCATCACTCGGCACGCTTGGGTCGATTGCAGATCTGCTGTTATTCATGCCAAGCTCGCTGTCCTCAGTGGCCGCGTTCATTGTAAGTGTGTATGGCTGCCGGAGAGAGCCGGCCAAAGTCGATGTACGAGCAGGAATGGCAACTGCCGCTGCCGGCAGCGCTACCGCAAGCGCTACCAACAACGCCGCCCAGATAGACAGGGCAGACCATGCGGGGCGTGGAGGTCTCCTCGTGACTTCTCGTCGCACCTCTAGTGGATGCTCCGTGTGTTCGCAGCTGTGTGTTGGTGGGGCGGGCGCGCTCTACCCTGGTGTGCTCTACAACTCCTTTGCATGTGGTTCGGGGTTTCTGCTATCCTCCCCTATACGACTAGACCGCAATAAAAAAAATATAGACTATATGGAAAAAATGATCAATGATCTGTCACAAGGCCTGTAGACTCCAAAGGGCTAATAGCGGGGTGTATGCTGCAGGAGTATATACGGCACTTACAGACCTGTGGAAATTGGGGAGTAGATTTAGAACAGCGATGGCGTTGTTGAAGCGCTTGTCACATTGGGTTCATCGTGGGGGCGTGCTGAAATACAGCGCATTACCACCGTAGGACGTTTTTAGAAAAGTTGGCGTAGTTCAATGATACGTGTGAACGTGGTACAATAAGTGACGTTCGGTATAATGTAACAATGCGCGACGAGTAGAGACAGGAGCTCGTGAGTGAATTGACTTTTGAAGGATTTTTATTTCGAACGAGATCACGAGGGTTTACGAGCCCAAGGCAAACTACAGTAACTCTAGTCCAAACTCTGCAAATAAGCTGTGAAGCGAATCAGAATGAACAGAAGCAAGTACCAGAAGCACCATTTAGCAACAATACATCGCCTTCGGTCAGAACAGACGTCGGTCTGAACATCACACAGACGTTTGTCTGGGACGGTCCCCTGGACAAGCGGTATTCGGTGCCGGGTTCACCGTGTCGTCCAGATTGACGTTGTAGCATGCCCTGAATACGCGCAGTTACAAGCAAAAATCACGTCAAACGGCGCCCGTTAACTGTATGTATGTGTTGTGCACTTAACGGCGTGGCTCAACTGGCAGGGATCCACGTCAATCTACTCGTGTGCAAAAATTGGAGGATCTGCACGTTGCCGTGTTCCAACAAGCCTTGCCTTTTGGCGCTGGGATATGAGACTCATGGATCTCCTTAAGGCTATTCCGATCCAAGTACTGTTGGTGTATACTTAGCTACCATGGTCATCGTCCTCTACCCAACGCACGTTGTTTGTGTCTAGGCCGTGGGGGAAGGAGAACAACTTGAACGTACAAGTAGAAAGCAAGGACGTTCCGTTGTAAAGGGTTTCGATTCACCCTTTACTGCTACCATTGGCATCGCACGTGCAAGATATTCAGTTGGTTGCTACAATTATTCGTTCATGGAGGTATGGTGTCTTGCCCTACCGCTGCAACGCGGTTAACGGGATCCTCCCGCACATATAACATATTTGAGCCTGCGGTCATATTCAGAGCACTAAGCAGTTATGCACTCCTCACACGAACAACAGGCGAGAGGAATATGTACCACATACTACAGGGTACAGGCGCATGACGGCACTCTTCGGGCCTAATCCTGCCGTAGGTGACACAAGATACCACACCCCCTGGACCGATTGTCAAAGCTCAATCACTCCACGACGAAGAGGACGCAGAAATCAAACGACACGTTCTCGAAAATCTCTTGACCAGGCGGCTTCAACGCCGCCGTTTTCGGCCTTGCCGTAATTCTGTTGTGGAGAAATCGAGCTCTGAAAACAGCTTCAGGGGGTGTGGTATCTTGTGTCACCTGCGGAGTGTTTCCAACCTCTAACACCACATGACATGGCGTACATGTGCAACACGGCCTACGTAGAACGCAGGCAACTCTGCGAAGCCGGCGAGAGGGATCCTGCTTTTCTACGTGCACACAAAACACTTGATCGGGAGGCCTATCCCTAAGCTGCAAGTGTTGCTGATGTGCGTAACTCCGGTCAACTTGAGTTGTCGCGCGTACCACCAGCCACGACACCGACACATGATACACGGCAGCAGCGCACAACACACGAACAAGCAGGGGGTGTGCTCCCGAATATGCGAACTCACCCACAATTATCGGTGCCGACTATCACAACCAACCGTTACAGTATGCATATCCTGCGGAACTCTCCTTCTCGCAGAGAGGCTGATAACCCTAGCGCTGTCATGAACACCGCGTCGTGCGCGGCGAGACTCCCGCTCCGGCGTGACTTCAAGGCCATCCAAGGCCACTTCGGCGATGCCCCAAAGTTAGTGACCAACACCCGTGTACGCTAAGGCAATGAGAAATATCAGTAGCCACACACCTGCTCCACGCAGTCCTTGCGTTCTTGCCAGTCGTTCGCTGCCTCCTAGCTGAGCTTTCCACCTCTCCGTGAAGCCTCTGGACACGGTCTCACTCTAGCCCAGTTAATAAGGACTCTGGAGGAGGCGTGTTTTTGTATGAGGTCTGCGCGCCATCGCCGCATAAAAAAAAAAACATCCTAAACCCAATAACACTGGGGTAATATATCGAGGCTGGTCACAGACAGACAGAAGACAGACAGACTTACTTGAGCCCGTTTCCCCCCCCCCTCTAAACAGCTTTTTCCCAGGATACATGTCCAGCTACCTGTAGTTGAAAGCGATCTAAGGTTGCGAGTAAGTTCGGCTTCACGGTCGACGAGGAAAAGGGATGGCTGAACCCTTCTCGCGATAAAAACATAAAAACTAAGGAAAGAACCGCAGGGGGAAAGGTGGGGATACAGAACAAAAGGAAAATTGATGACAAACGCTTTGTGTGACCTTCCTCTTGTATTATTGTGTGGCCCCGGCTGGATACGTCAGGTACATACCACGCCGAAAGGCCTGTAAGCCGGCGCCAGAATAGATAGAGAGACCCGTAAGAGATCGCGTGGCTAACCCGGGTGCCTTGGTTTTGTGCCTGATCGTGGAAGACCCCTTCAATGTGGAACGATTCTTAGCTAGTGTCGATATTTTTCACTGCAGTGCCTAACACAGACGATCGGGAGAGATTCGGGTGATTGTCAATTGCTGCTATGATGGCTTTGGTTGGTTGTTCTTTTTCACTGTACGGCCGCAGACACATTCTGACAGCACTTCAGACAGCAGCTTTGTGCCCCGCCAGCTGCTTGTTCCATGCCTACCATGGTGTTTTTGTACAGACAGCACTTCAGACAGCAGTATGCTGTAGTCGGCAACCTTCCGTTTTGGTATAGACTGGGACAGGGAGGGGGTGATGCTACCCTTGTAGTCTGTAGTCGAACGGTGGGACGGACGTGCACTTCAGTTTTTGGGCACGCATACGGTGCTGCAGGGATTTTTAGGTGTACCTCTTCGGGCTCTTGGATACCTTTTTCTCGTTATATGTATGCGTGTTCTTTAGATCCTCAGATGGCTCTAGCACTTTCGTGACCACGGGCTGAGAGTCTTTGCTAGATTTTGGCATTTAGCAACTGACATACGGTTTAAAGTGACGACAACAACAACAACAACATCAGAAGATCTAAAGGACACACACACTATTAGAAAGAAAAGGGATACAAACAAGTCAACGAGTGACAACCTGCCGAGGTATTACAATTGTGTATGTTGGTGCGTATGATATTACCAGGAAACTGCGGAAACTGGGGAATATTTGGTAGCAGCGTACGCCCAGGTGGGATGACGACGTCGTGGGGGTTCCACTACAATTGTAGTCTACTCATGATGACAAAACTCCAGATTCATGAGCATAACAAACCGAATGTATGCGCTCACCTCTCGGTGTCCTTTAATCCGTGCCAGCAAAGTTTCCTCCGCTGCTAATATCACAGTGTCGTTTTCGGGGAAACCCGCCGCGAAGGTTGCGTACGCGGAAGCCGGCGGACGGACCGACAGGGGTTCCACGACCAGCGATTCCGCTGCCACGACGCACGGGAGATCCTGCATGGTGGTGCCCGGTGGCGGGACGATAGCCTCAGCGCTGGGCAGCGCCGGCTGCGCCATCGTACCTCTATGACTCGGTTGTGATGGAAGATAGGGAGTACTAGACAGGGCGGGGTAGTGGAGCCGCTGGGTAGCGATTCAATACCTTGCAGTAGTCTAGTCTTATCTGCAATCCTGATGGTGCACGAATCCCGACACACAGCAGCGTGATTCGTTTGTGGTGCAGCTACGCGTGCACCAGAGGCTCGAGTTCGGCCGTGGGTGAGGGTTAGGGTTAGGGTAGACAGACGGGGTGAGCAACCTAGCCTTGCTCGCGTGAAGAACCTAGCCTTGATACGCCCCACATCGGTTAGTCCTAAAGAGTCACTATCAAAGTGAAGGGCGCGACGATGGTTGTATTTTCATTTTTCTCCCATCATTGGACTCTGTCGTCTGCCTCTCTGGACCCTATCCCCCACTTCTACTAGCTAGACGACCCAACCGGGGTCACATAGGAGGGGGGGGTTGGACCCCCTCCTGCGGTTCATGCCGCTCAGGAGGGCCGGTTCCGTGCTAAAGCTCAATGTCCTTTTTCCCATCTCCAAAACAAAAAAAAAAAAATCGACTTCGGGAATCGTTCTGAAACGCCCAAAGGCGGGTTCTAAAAAGTCACCCCCCAAAAAAAAGTTCCCCTTCGACGAGATTTTTTTTTGGGAAAACGACACAACAGGGTATACTCTGGTCGAAAAGCGACACAACTGGGTACACAGTCAATAACAGCAGAAAATGCGCTCATTTGATTGGTCACCGCCCAATTTCACCCCGGTGCGTCGCTTTTCGACCAGGGTATACCCTGCCGTGACCACTTTTCTCAAAAACTGTACCCTGTTTTCGAAAATGTACCCTGATGACTTGTCGGGAAATCAGACCCTTTCATCAATCATTTCCCCCGCAGGAATCTTCCCAACTCCTTTCCCCTCAACCATGAGATAGATACCAAACGGCGACTCTTCCCGCCCAATAACAACCATGGCAACGGGGCAGGAATCAGTTTCCGCCCCTGCGAAACAACACCAACGATCAACTCTTCCGCTCTAAATCAACAATGGCAGCCGGGCAATACCCCAGCACAACTCTGTTCCGTTTGGAAACATGCACACACGTACGATACCCCGTGGACGACTGCTTGCTGCAGTTGTTGTTGTTGTTTCTCACATATTAGCTCTAAAAAAGAAAGATGGGGAGCCCGTGGTCTCAAAACCCGGNTTCACTTGTAGTATATCATCGATCACAAGATAGGAGGAGTGGAACACAAGACGGAGGGTCCACACAATCCTCACACACAGGGTATGGCCCCTGTGATATCTTCACACACGGAGTCCCCAAGATCTCCGTAGAACCTTCAACACTGTGACTACCACGGCCAATGTCCACAGCTCAGATGATCACGCTAATAATCTCCAGAATCCATATACCAAATGATAATCATCAAAATCTGACGCCGGATTCGTGTTCCCCGCCCCAAAATTAGCTTAGACGGAAAATTTCAGCTTCATCCGAGCCAATTTCAAACCCGGGGATTTTTTGCGGCCATCCCCGGGTTCTGCGTTACGGATTCTTAGCCACCGAAATATACTAATATTGGTTGAAACCCGGGCAAGACGAACGAGTTATGACCTCAAATTTTGCACAGCACCCTAACTTCATCATAGGACCATGCCATAAAAACTTCGGACCTTAGGGGGTACGTGGTGAGAAATCACGGAACCCCCCCAAAAAATATTGAGCTTTAGCGCTGAACCCGCACGGTGTATGTATGTGTTCGCGTTGCAATGTCTGCTGCATTTTTTGTTTTTATTTTTTGTGCAATCTCCGATAGCTTGGGCATTTACCTCTCCACAACTCCTGGGCTCCGCGGGTCATTATTATTAGGGTGAAGATGGGGTTGTGGTAGTGTGCAACGTGTAAGATTAAATGAAGGAAATCTGGGGTTTGTGGAGCGGGATTGAATCGTATAGTGGCAAGTAAGAAAGAAATTGCTGGGAAGGGTTGTCGGGGGAAAGGACAAGCAGAGGCGGTGAAGGCGTAGACGCTTACAACAGCCACAAGCAGCAACAGAAGAACTCACACTGCGGCTGCTTCTGTGAGGTCAAGGGGCGATTTGCGGTAAAGTCCACCGAGCTCTAGGCACAAGGTTTGAGGAGGAACGGGTTCGAGTGGGCCTTGATTAGTTGAGCGAGCGAAAAACCTATTGGAGAACATGACCGGCGGACACTGCTATCTATCTGTTTTTGTACCTTTCTTTCGAGTTGTTCAAAACTCAGAAAGTGCACAAATCCAGTATGGAAAATCCCGAGAAGGGGATGAATCAAGTTTTATTCGCTGGTACTGCTGTGCGCCAAACCGGCGGAGATACACCCACGAGCTACCCCCACCACCAACCAAGACCCAACCAAATGGAACAGGTAGTACCAATGTGCTATGGATACCAAAAAACACGAACATAACATCTCGACGATCCTATCTAGTCTACTCTTAGATACATGCACGACCTGTACCTTTGCTCTACTGCCGCTCACCTTCCTCGCATGTAGTACTACTACGCACGTGTGTCTACATGAAGCTCCAACACGAACGCGTAATGTATGTTCCACTAACCCATGTATGCTACGTCGTCAACAACTATCAGGTAATCTAACATGAAATTGCATGACATGAACAGACAGGCACAAATGTGTGTTTGTTGTTCACAATGAGGCTCATGTAACGGTGACTATAAGCATGTGCCCATCTGAGTCATTATTTTGACTAGGGTGTACCCCGTTGTGTCGTCATGTCCCCTTCATTGTATCGATGTAGGATGGTCCGGCTTTCGGGTTGTCTAGATGGAGCTGGGTTGCCCTCTCCGGATGGAATATCCTCCAAGCTTCGGTGGGTTTGTTTGTCTGATGTTGGCATGCCTCGTGATTGTGTAAGAAGGAACAATGCGAGAAATAGCTTCCTGCATTGCAGCTGTGATCCAGCAAGTACTTGGTGGAGGTGTGTTCTTCGCCCGCTCAGAGAGATTCCATTTCCCTGGAAAAGGCGCACATCATGTCTACACGGGATATAGGAGTAGTAGAGAGTGAATCATACGCTGGATGCAAAATAACACCATCACATCGGGGCTTCCATACTCTCGCGGCGAAATGCGTAAGACGCATCAGATCTCCGATCCCCCGAAGTAGTCGACGACAACGTCGCATCTCAACAGAAACCAGCCGCAGCTAGTGTTTTCGGTCTGCTTACGAGGGCTCTGTCATGCATCCAAGGCGAGAACTACGACTTGTTTGTGTGTGTTTTGGAATTGCACTGTGCCGCTGTCAGGACTCAGCGTGCAGACCGGAAAACAACTAGAGGTGAGGTTGGATGCACCATGCAAAGTTTTGCAATGTGGCGAGATGGGTGTTCACACAGCGGACCGATGTGCATCTGGTAGCCGTAAGGTGTGGGTTACGTGTATAGTATGTACTATCAGCTTACGACTAGCCTACACCACTCACACGTCAAAGGCGTATACCATGGTACCTTTTTTCTTCGGTAGTGTTATAGTCTATACGACACCGGTGTCGTACTTCCTTATATACGACACCTACCATTTCTTGGCCCACAGGGCTCCAATCGGCGTACAACAAAATGCGCTGTGTAGC